CACACACACAGCTGCTTATAGGTGGGCTCCTCACGGTATCAGAGGTGGTGGTGCCCAGGATAAATGAGGCTAGCACCTGGTCAGTGGTTGAGGCTGGTCTCCGTCCTAACCTCCCTCTATGTTTGGCTTACAAACCACCTTCCCACTTGGCTTGATTACTCCCATTCTGAAAGGGGGGGTGTCATGTCATTTGCACTTCTGAGAATCTGGACAGCTCCTTGGTCAAATCTGTGCCCATTCTGTGGCCACGTTCACTGTTCTCAACTACAGTACTGCCTCTAATTCAGCTTTGAGAGAAAAAAAACCCACACAAACTTTGCTTCAGGGTGAGATATTCCAGTCTTTTCAGTGATAGCATCCCTCCCATTCTGTCATCTGCAAGGATCTGTCTCCTGTTTCTTTATGGGAAGAGAATTTTTAAGATGTCAAGTAGGCCAAGGCATCGGCACCTCGGGCTTTTACAGCCAAGTATTCACATTTAATTTTTGCCTCAGACCTAATAAGGAACTTGTCAGTGCTGTTACAAATCCCCCAGCTCTCTCGGGGATGCTCCCACCCCTGGGGGAATATTTATCAGTGATCAATGCTGGACAAAGCCAGAAACAGAAAGACGATCCTCTGAAGGAACGGTAGGCTGTCTACAATCATATACCTTTGGTATTTCAGTGCTGTGCAAGGGCTCTGTATGTCTCACCTCCATTACACAGCAGGAGGAAAAAAGGAAAATCTCAGTCTTAGAGAATCTTAGGCGGGACTGAGGAAGTCAAATGCCAGGAGTTGGAACCCCACGGTAAGCCCCTTCCCCACTGTGGTAACGCAAAGGAGTTTCGCTGTCACCCAGGAAGGTGACAAATGAATGCACTTATGCCACCAACAATTTCTTGCAACTAAAGGCTGTAACATTTCAACAGCACCCCTCCTCCATGAAGCTTCAAGAACCTTCCTAGTATTCACCTGTGGGATGATGACCTCCTACCTACTGAGGAGCCCTGGTGGCGTGGGTTTAAATGGATCCGCGGGGCGCTCGGGCCCCACCAGTGAAAAGGAGGTCGTGGACTCACCCTTTCTGGCTCCAGCAACCCTCCCAGTGTCGTTCAGCATCGCTCTTCGTGAGACCCTCCAATTCCTAGGAACCAGCGGTGGGATTCAAATAAATTAACAACCGACTTGCTGCTCTGAAACCACTGTACCTATAAAAAAGGTAGTTTATCATTCCATGCAGCTAGTACTTAGAATAAGGAATGTAAATGCGATTTCCAGAGTGGCTGCCTAGCCTTAGAGAGAACACCGGACTGAACAAAAAAAATAGTTATCAGTTCTGCTGAACCAGTGTGAACCAGCTGCATCCCACCACTGCTAGGAGGGGGTTTGGGATGAGTAAGGGGTCTTCCATGGCTCCTAGAGTCCCCTTATACTGGTCTGGAATATTCTCAAACCACATTTCTGGTGCTGGATACAAGAGGAAGACCTGACACCCCCCCACCCCACCCCTACAAATGCAGAGGATATGTAGACAAGCTAAAATCTGAAAGGGCAGATCACACCTGGCTCTTCTAATGACAGGTCAGGCGGGCCTCAACCCCAGAACTCAAACCTCGCGTCCCCTTTGTCCAGTCCCCTGAGGACTGGTTCTCCCCAGTGCTGAGGTTGAAGCATTGGCTTCCCAAGAAGACAAGACACTCACCAGGTAAACCACCTTTTCTACAAGCTTGGCCTGGGACCGGTTTCTGTACACACAGCACTTACAGGTGGTGTAAGGTGAAGGTTATGGTTCCAAGAGGAGAAACACTGTACATTCCTAGTTACATTCAGAATTAGCTACATTTATGAGCTACATGTTGCATCTCTTAAGCATTTATTTGCCGAGTAATAAATATACAAGGATGTCGGGCTTTCAAAAGTATAGTATCTACATGAAATTTCCGTTCCCGGTGGGATCCTGGGTATGGCGGACGGTGGGTAAGCTCTGCGCTGCCACCAAGTTTTTCCGTCAGCCTCAGTAAACCTACCCTAAAGTAAAATGGCACTGACACCAACGGAGAATGTTCAAAGCTTGAAAAGCCTCAAGAAGCCATGGCCTAAACCCACAACCCAAGAGACCACATTAAGGTTCTACAGCAGGGGAGGGCGTGGCACAGCGCCAAGTGGGCCACGCGCTGGCTACTAACCAAAAGGTCACCCCAAGACCCGTAGGATGACTAGGAGTCTGAATCAACCTGTTTCCATGCTGACTGGTTCAAGTTCATGGGCTACCTTTCTCCATGGCAGACAAACCAGGAGCCTGGAGCCTCAGGCAGCTCCTTCAAGCGCTCAGCAGGGAGGTGGCTGGGGAAAAGTCCCCTGGCCAGAAAAAAGAAATGACAAATTTGGAGTCCCACCCCTTCTCTTGTAGAGCTCCCTCACATTTAGGGGCGTATTTATAAGCATCAGGCTCTCCCAGTGTTAGCTGGGAGGGTGCAGTAGGCGGCCAGGTGTCTTTGAGTGGGGCCAACCAGGAAGTCAGTTGTCTCGCAGTGGGCCCAGACCTTGATGTCTGTCCGGGTAGCTCCGATCCTGCAGGAAGTCACAGCACTGGCTGTGCACTTCGTCTCACCTCAGAGAGGGCCCCCAGCTAACCTGAAGCACACCTGTCTGGCAGGGGAAAATAAGATTCAATTACAACGTGACACTTCAAAGTATAATCTCAAATCCCTGTACATGTTCTAGAGCCGAGACACACTCCAAGGCTGTACTCTTCTTGGAAGCAGACCATCTCATCTCGCCCCCCCTCCTGAGCCACTGGGAGACCTGCACTGAAGCCAGGTCTGAGGGATCCTTATCATCACAAGTCAGAATAAACAGTAGAGAGAAGGGAAAACCAACCACAAACACCCACTCACGCAGCCAGGGAAGAAACACTAGCCAAGCCACCCATCACTAGGGACCAGCAACCTAGCCCAGAACTGCCAGAAAGACTAATCGTTTCTCGGCTTTCCAGAGGAAATGTTTGGGCTGACATCCGTGGTATCTGAGGGGGCCAGGGCGGCTCATATGTGATAGGTGTTCTCTGGTTACACATGCACTGATAGTAGGGCTTGGCTGAGAGGCCCATACTACAGGCACAGGCAGCAAGCTTGCTCTTTGACTTTACTCCTTGGGATTAAAGCTAGTGGTTTGACATCGCTTCAAGATTTGTCCTAGAAGAATAGAGTAACTGTTTCTGTTGGAGATGGGATTCCATTTGGCTTGACACCTTCCAAACTTGCTTGCTGCACTCATCTGGCCCCCTCCTATTAAGTGAACCAAGCTGGCTGGCACAGTGGCTACAGCATGCACCTGCAACACAAACCACCTCCAGCCACTGCGTGGAGAAAGATGAGGGAGGCAGTCTGCCCGGAGTAGGAATCTACTTGCTGCAGCGGGCCTTTTCCTGCCCCTTAGCTTGTGGATTCGTTACAACTGGAGGTGATTCGGTAGCTCTTCATGTCACCCGACAACTCTAGTCTTCAAGAGCCTGCATGACCTGCGGATCACAGCTGGCCCCACGTCTGGGCCCCCAAACTGGACTGTCTCAGACCTTTTCAGTGGGTGTGGGCCCAGTCGCCTCTTGGGGCGAAGCCTCAGCCACCATCACCTTGGACCAGTTTCCAGTATGGGACTGGAGGCTGGCTCTGGCTGGTCCCTGTTCCGTGACTGGGTGGCTATGACAGAACATGGTACTATGACCACGGAGCAGCAAGACTCTGGCGAGCTCCAGGGCACAGCCAGTCAAACACATGGCCGCTAACTGGAAAGCCAGCAGTTCTGGACATGCCAGCCCCTTGGCTGAGGAGTTAGCAGCCTTGGAAACCATACATATGCTGTAGGGTTGCTGAGTCAGCAAGGCCACCACCAACACAACCTAAAACCATCCTATCTCACTGACTTCTTCGGGCTCATAGGGAGTTCCAAGTGAACCGTCTGCATTTACCCTGACGGTTTTCCCTCCTCAGTTTTGGCCACATTTCAGTTGGGTTGTTCAGTTATCAAGTCAGTTCCCCCTCACAGCAACCCCACATTCAAGGGAGTGAAACACTGCTTGATCCTGCTTGATGCTCACTGTTATGTTTGAATTCACTGTCTCAATCCTTCTCATCAAAAGGTCTTCTTTTTCACTGACCCTCGACCTGAATCAAGCATGACCTCCTTCTCTAGGGACCAGTCTCTCTTGATCACACGACCAATGTACAGGAAATAAACTCTTGCTTCTAAGGAGCATTCTGGCTGTACTTCTTCCAAGACAGATGGTTGTCCTTCAGTTGGTTTAGGTTAAAGTTGTGGTTACTACGAGCAATGTACTGGGAAGTTCTCCTAGTTCCGGCTGTCTGCTAATGCAATAAGCAAACTTTGTTTCTAAATGGGAAATTTCGTAGAATGAGACGAAGCTAAGATCAGAGGCCTGTGGCAGGGCACCAGTGTTCTTCCAGGTGGCAGGTTCTTGGGCGACCATTGGCACAAACCATTGGCACAATCAGAAGCCTTCAGCCATGGTCACTCCAAGGACTAAAGGGTACTCAGGTACTGCTATCTTGATGAAGTTAATATACCCACTTAGCATGTCCCTGGTACCTAAACTTTATCGAGAGACCCGATCCAAAGCAGCCACGAGGTCTGATGCACCTTGGACGGAGGAGCATGCCTGTGTGATGAGATCACTTTTCACTGTAGCTCCAAATGCTGATTGCAGCCCACAGGCTCCCAAACTTATTTGGTCTCCTGCTCTCTTTCAGAAAAAGAGATTACTCTGCGCCACCCTGGCCATAAAAAACCTTTGTCCAAGAGGCCATAATCCAGGACAAAGTGTAGCTATCTGCTTTTGCTGCCCTCCTGGAACATTCCACAGCCTCTAGGGGCCAGCATCGCCCTGCTTGGGAAACAGAGCAGTGTAATCACACAGAACAGATACTCAGACTAAACGCTTGCAGGGGGCCAGCCTAGTGAGCGGATGACAGGACTTGAATCTATGAAGCTGGACATGAAAGGACGCTGGGTGACCTTTTATTATACAAGTCTTGGGGGGGTGGGGGGGCTGTGACAAACATCCCACCTACCACTTCTGCAGCTGCGCTCTGAATGGAGCTGAGGAGAGCAGCAGTGAAAGATAGGGGCATTAAGGCCAAGATTCTTCTTCCTAAGTCGGACAAGGCCCGCCAGCAACCCCGCATTCCAGGCCCGGCCAGAGCCCACGAAACCGACGACGATGACTTCCCGCTTAACACTAGAGACACAGCTCGGCTTTCCCACTCAGCGTGCTGCCGTAGGGCTCCAGGAGGGGAAAGACCTCCTCGTCCAAGAACCTCTGCACCTGCCAGAGGAGAGAACAGCGTCAGAGCAAAGAAAGGGCGGAGACTAGGGTGACGGTGTCTTGGCATCACGGTGGAATCCCTGAGAGGGTTCTGACAAAGCGTTCACTGTACCACTGAGCTCTCGTTTTCCTCTCAGCCCGTACAGCAACACTCTCTCCAGACACCGGCAACTCACGCGCTGTAATGCAGTGAGAACTGCTTAATACGGCTCCGGTCCATCCTCACCACCTTGGCCACTCCCACCAGGCTACCCTCCTTTCCTCATGGGCTGGGGAAGGTGCGGGAAGATAGACTGTTACACAATTCACCTGTGGTTGCCATCCCTCAGAGTATAAAGTGAGCCACAACTTGGTAACAGGAAGGGGGAATCTCACTTCCCAGAACCCCAAGATTCCTGCGCAGCGAATCTCCGTGATCCAGGAGACAGCTTTGACGCCAGAGCTGGGACAGAGGCGCAGCAGCAGAACCAGGAGCCAGTCCACAGAGCAGGAGCAGCTGGGTGCTTCCGGGCAGGAGGCTGGCTGACGGAGTGCATGTCTCTGGACACTATGGGGTGCTGGAGCTGAGGCCTGCAGCGGAGTGGCACGCCCTTTGGGCATGTATCAGCAACACTTTAGAGAACTTTGTAACATGTCCTGACTGATCATTATCCTGAGCGTTCCTCGCCTGAATTGTAACCTGTTAATGTGCACAGTAAGCCATACATGTGCGGGCGCTGCCTGAGTTGTGGGGACCACTACAATGAAGCAGGAACCCTATAGACAGCTGTGGGCGACAGAAGACCCAACCAGCCCAGGGGCCATCTCAAGTCGCTGTCCACCCACAGCAACCCCACAGGGACAAGCAGAACGGCCTCTGGGCTCACAGGCTGTACATGTTTGCAGGAGTTGAAAGCCCCACCTTTCTCCCTGCGGAGCGGATGACCTTTGGCCTTGAACTGTTGACCTGACTTATTTCCTATCCCTTCTGAGCCTCCTTCCTGCCTGAGCAAATGCTGCCCTGTTGACCTAGTAGGTTGTTCTAACCAGCCATCTCTCCCTGGAGTGACTGTTGACTTTCATCAGCCTGCCTAGTGATCAGCTAAAGTTTGAGAATGGGCCGAAGAGTGTCTCAAGGCCAATCTTGGGGTCCTGCCAGTTTGTCAGACAAGCAAACCCGGTCTGTTGTACCCCCGAGTTCTGCTCCATATTTTCTCCTCTTCCAGGGGCCATGCTGTCCTACAAAGCAGCCCCTCCTGTGCTCTCACCACACTGCACGCAGCGCCCGTGTACGTCATCACTGCCGCTTTCTGCTCGGGCAAGCGGGCTTTTTGCAAAGCCCTTCTCCCCTCCTGGGTGGCCTAGCACAGGCTCCTCACTGGTCTCCTTTCCTCCAGTTTTAACTTTCTCAAGCCCACCTTTTGCCCACCACCACGGCGATTTGATGGCCGCCCACCACAAGCTCCTTTCTTCAGAATCAAATTCTGCTCTCACTCCTGAGAGCTCTGCACTTAGTACTGCAGTAATACCCAGTGACAGTCCTTTCTCGCAAGTGCCAAATGGCGAGGTCTACCCCCTCCCTCGGCCTGGTGGTCCAGGGTCATTCCTACTTGGATGCACATCACCTCCAAGAAGTCCTGCCTAGCAACTCCGAGTCTCCACCTGGAAAGGGTTACCGTATATTCTTGAGTATGAGCCGAGTTTTCCCAGCACATTTTAATGCCGTTTTTGTGGTCAAATTAGGTGCTTCGTCTGCTATTCGAGTTGGCTTATACTTGAGTATATACAGTAAGTTTCCTCTGTGATTTCCAAATAGGCTGGCTATCCCTCAGTTCCTGTAACTACTACTCAGTATTAGCAATCGCCATGGGTCTTTGCTATTAAGTTCTGAGCACCTGGAAGACGCTCATCTAACTTTAAACCCAGTGCCTGAGCACATCCCGAGAACCTGACTGCTCCCAGTGATGCCGTTAAGGTGAAAGGTCAACAGTTTGAACGCACCAGCTGCTTCGGAAAGAACCCGCCCTGGAAATGAACTGTCTGGGTCAGCCTCTAGGACAGAGCAGGGCTGCCGGAGTCAGGGCTGATCAGACAGCACCTGTTTTCTGAATCCACTCTTGTCTCTTTTCTCGAAGAGGCCCAAGGACACAGGCTAAGAACCAGCAGGCACCAAGCACTAGGCCAGGCCACACCCATTGCCCTTGGTCTCCCAATCGATCCTGACAACCCCCCTATGGCATCGGTATTTGTATCCTGACAGCCAGTAAATGCTAGAAGCCAGGAAAGAACCTTGGTCACCAGCCAGAGAAATGGAACCTTTGCCCAGGGGCCACGTGGCTCCCAGACAGCACATCCACAATGGAAATGTTTAAGGCCGTGCAAAGTGGTCAAAATGTGACATTTTTGAGGGTGCTCTGTTCTGCTCTGAATTCGCTCTAACTCTTCCCGAGACAGTAAGTTTCTGGGCTTCCATGACCAGCAGGGTAAGGCCACTCGAGCCCACGGGGCAGATTTCAACTCTGTGGACACGGCCTGCCCAGCTCTTGCTGACCTGCTGGGCGGCACGGCCAGTGAAAGAGGAAGGATCCAGTAAGCGGTCCAACTGGGCGTGGATGGGACTGAAGTAGTCGTCAGCCTGGATCCGCTTTATGAGGTCATTGTCACCCCCTTCCTGCTTGACCACAGCAGCGGCCTGCTGGGAAAGCACCCGGATTTTCTCATGGCAGTCCTGGGAAAAGAGAGGGGTGCAGCAGCAGTGAACAGAGGGCCCCCCACATACCAGCTCCCTTCCCATGCTGACTCCCCAGGCTCTTCACCCTGATCACATCTCAGGATGGGTCCCAAACGGGTACCACCTGCCTGGCCCCTCCTCTTGGCAACTACATGTACCGCTTCCTGTTTCCTGTTCACTTCCCAGGGAAGTTTAGCCTGAACTCCTCATCACAGGATGAAGGAATCTGCTTTAAGACAGCGAGTTTGCAAGTCACCCATCAGAGGTGTCCTAGGGCAGCATAAAGCCACTGAGGTGTCCTGGGGCAGCATATGGCCACTGTCCTGACCCAAACCCGAGCCTGAAGGCAATGAGCCACATGTCTGCCTGCATCTGCTCTTTTTCGGGAAGGAGGGCAGGACTGTGGCTCGCCCTCCGCTTACCCAGGAGCCATTTGGAGCTACAAACCTGGCGGCTGCCCCCGGCTTTCACCATGGCCATGATGATGTTCTCCGTGGCCATGAAAGGCAGCTCTTGGCGGATGCGCCGCTCAATTACCTAGACAAGCAGGTGCGAGGGGCAAAGGAACACACCGCTATGTAAATGCCGCGCACACGGGAGGGTAGCAACCACACGCACATAAAATGTACAGAGGCAACAGGATGATAAAGACGATAATGGGAGATTTCATTCTAGTTAGTTCCCAGTGTCCTGATTAATCTAGGCTATGATTTTTACTAGAGACAAAAACTAAAATCAGCGATCTGAACAACCTTTAAGCAACTGCCTCACAGAGATCCTTCCTCACACCTCACATTTATTCATCCTCTAGAGCCCGGGCTAATGGACGTGAACCTATCTGACACAGGTATTTAGAACTCGGCAAACGGAGCTCTCTGATAGTGGGGCTGAGCCTGAGCAGTTGTGATGGTCACTGGTTAGTTGCTCTGGGTGCTAAGGCTCCGATTCACAGGGCAGCATATGGCTGCCTGGTCCCCCGCACCATCCCTGCAACCCTCAGTACAGTGTTGCAGCCACCGAACACACAGGGTTTCGGCCCACTTTCAGCACTTCTTCTCTATAACCTTGTGTGTGAATGCCATAGAGATAGCTCCCTAACGCTCCTGAAGAATGAGCTCCAGCTGGGAAGAACAACATTGGCTCAGAATGCTACCCACCCCCCACCTAATTCTCTGCCTTTGACTGAGACCTCTTACTTTGGGGTACACCACCAACCCTTCGGAGATGTTCTGCAGCGTCGTCAGTATCGTATCTGCGCTAAGAAAGGCTTCGGCCAAGCAGATCCGTCTAAGAAACAAGCAGCCAATTCAGGTCTCTTGTTAGACAAATACAAATTTCAATGAAATGTAGGGAAGCTTCCAAAATGCTGCCCTAGGTCCCCTTGCAGTCTCCTTAGGCAATGTCCCTCAACTACTCCCTGTACGCTGAGGTCCCAAGCGCCAGGTCTTGAGCCGAGGTGGGGAGCTCCGCCGGGCTGATGCACAGCTTCCTCTCCCCTCGCCACCCGGTCGACGCAGTCTCCCCCTGTGCTTCCCACGAGGTGATGCTGGCCAAGCTGCCCTCGACTTTCTAACTGACCCTTCCTTTCCAATGACTTCCAACCCATCTCCTAAGTGATCCTGCCAACCCAGGGGCCACGAGAGTGTAGTCAGCATCCACCTGCCCAAGAATGAATAGCCTGCCTTCCCAGGGCCAACGAGACCTTTCCTAAGCTGGCCCTCCCTGGATCAAGTCCAACCGCAGCCCCTGTCCCCCAAGCTCCTCCTGCTCCAGCACTCATGGGCGTCACCTCAATAAACGTGCCGCCGCCTCCCTCGCCCCCCTGTAGGCACGTGTCTGAGGAGGCCATCACTCTGTGAGAGCCGCCCTCCCTGCTCTCACTCTGATCATGACACGCGTCCCCGAACTGCCTCTGACCTTCCAGGCCCCTTGGTGACAAGGAGGGAAGGCAGAGAGGCTGGACACATCCTTCTTCTAATTCCCGGCCCTTCCTCCCCCGAGCATTCCACTGACCGGTTGGCACTATCATCCAGTGTGCGCTCGAACCACTGCACAGACGCGGTCTGCAGCGGGTCCAGGACCAGGGTCATCAGGTGCCGGGCGAGGCTGCAGCAGCGCTCTGAGCGCATGGGGTTCCGCTTGTAGGGCATCGCGCTTGAGCCTGCCCCACAGAAAGGTCGAGCCACAGGGCAGAGGTGTCAGGACAGCGAGTGAGCAGTGGGAAGTTGTCCCGCAGGCCTGCAGCCGCCCAGCTCTCCGGCCAACACTCACCGATCTGCTGCTTCTCAAAGGGCTCCTCCAGCTCCTTGAGGTTTGCCAGGAGGCGTATGTCGGTGCAGATCTGCAGGAGGCGGGGAACAGACGCTGTCCCTGGGCCCTGCAGTTCGCACAGGCAGCCAGGAGCAGAGGCAGACTGACGAAGGGGACGGGCTCCTTGGGTGTGCCGCGGAGCTCCAGCTCAGGGGCCTGGGGCAGTGTCTTCCTCAGATCTCCTCTCTGCTCCCTCAGAGCAGGGAGCAGCGCCAAGGGGCCTGGTAAGGTACTGTGGAACACTACTGAACCACCAAGAGACAGTCAACAGCCTGGGTAACTTCATAATACACCTTGGCACGAGGTGCTAAAAACTCTTATGTGAAAAACAGAATTAAGCAAAAGCCCGAGGCTGACCTGGTTTGTGTGTGGCCCCAAATTCCACCATCCCACCCAGGCTACCCCCACTTACCTTGTGCACAGATGCCCCCAAGCTAGCCAGCACAGACAGCACCTCAATATCCACTTTCCGTGTGTACGTCTGCCCGGTGATGATGAAAGCCCTGCACGTGGTAGAGAACCGTATGCTGAGAGACCTCACAACACGATCCTCTGGTCTCAAAGAGGTGCTAGCTCACACCGAGTCCAGGGCTGGACTGGACCTGGGACGTGGCACACACCAGCCGGCACCTGTTTGACAAGTGACCAGACCAGAGGAGAAGCACCCGTCGGAGTACCGTTGGCCTGCCTCTGCCCAGTGAAGTGCCGAGAGGAGCCCGGTGGCCCTCGCTCATTAGAAGAACAAAGACAGTAACACCATGGTTAGGCCACTCGAGAACTCAGAGGGAAATGGTTCTCTTTTCTCCACTCCAACGCCGAAGAAAACAGAAGCGAGGCTGTAAGGAAATAAAACCCAGGCCAGAGCTGGGAAGAAAAGGCAGAACAGAGAAGGAAACCCAAAGACAAGAACCATCTGGCCCAAGCTAGAGGTGGGCCAAGTGCCAGCCTTACGGGGAGTCAGCCCCTCCCCACACACCTACCTCTTAAACCCCGCCTTCTCGGTCACCATCTTGTCAAGCTGCTCCACCTGGGGGAGGCAAGACAGACGTGGGCCCGCTGGAATCAGGCGGGTCTAGTATGAGGACACTTCACTGCCTGTCACCTTCCCCAGTGCAGACCCCACCCACCCCATCCGCAATGTGCCCAGGAGACCAGGCCTGCCCTGCTCGCCCCATCAGGTCACCTTGTGGTGGTCTCCCTCGAAGAGCTGCAGGAAGCTGGCCTGCGTGCCGGTGGTGCCCTTGACGCCGCGGAAGCGCAGGTCGTCTCGGACCCGCGTCAAGCTCTGGAGGTCCATGCACAGGTCCTGAATCCACAGACAGCTCCGCTTTCCAACTGTGGTCAGCTGCGCAGGCCTGCGACCAACCCAAAGGACACACACCTTTCAGCCGCAACCCTCGCCAAAGTGTCGTGCCTTCTCTTAGCCAGCACCATTACTCCTCGCCGGACCAGAGCAATCTGACAGCGAGAACTGGAGAAACTGAAACCAGTGTGACCGAATGACCGGAAGGGGCAGTCGGTCCTTTACAGAGATATTGAAATGAAAGGGCCTCCAGCAAAGCATCCTCTCTAGCCTCAAGAGACAACACAACACAACACAACGACAAAGATGAAGTCTGGCTGTGTTCACAGCTCATCCCCAGACCACTGTAAAGTGAACAGCACACGCGGCCCGTCTCTGCCCACTGAAGCTTACGTGGCACCTCTCAGCAAGTGAGCAAACAAACTAGCCATTGCTACTTTCAGTGGTGTGACAGGTACAAGGATGAGAAGACAAGAAAGGTCAAACCAGAGTGGCAGTCAAGCAGACCTGTCTGAGGCGCCGGGCTCCAAAGAGGACACGCCAGTCATGCTGCGAAGATCCCCGAGGGCACACCCCAGAGGACACATGCGCTGACACAACCTCGGATGGTTCTGCTTCCAGCCTGGTCGACATCAATCCACAGAGGTGCTTCTGAACGTAAAGCGGCAAGTACAAACCAACTGTGATAATGTTCAAGTCCTGAAAGATGGCCCAGTCCACCCCTAGTGGGATTTCCCCACTTAGGCAGGTGACAGCGAGGCCTGCCACTAGGAATGTGCACAGCAGACAGTTCCCAAACTGTAGTCCATTCCCAAAGCAACCTCCTGGTGCAGGTTTCCACAGGAGCCCTGCTGGTGATGTTGGATAAGTGAGTGTTGGACTTTGAAGTGCCAGGTCGGAGGTTCAAAACGATGAGCTGCTCCGAGGAAGAAGGTCAAGGCTCCCCACTCTCAAAGACTCAGCCTCGGAAACCCTGGAGAGGGCCACCACGTGCCAGGGCTGACCCGATGGCAGTGGCCTTGGTTTGGGCTTACAGTTTTCCATATCAACTCTGGCTCACAGACTACTATGCACAAGCAAAGAAATCACTAAATGTGCATGGACTTATTCAGCCAGCCAGTCGCACGAGGTCCGATCCCATCATGAGCAATGCCCAGCAGAGGCAAACCCACGGACAGACTCGTGGTTGCTGAGGGCTGGGAAGCGACTGGCCACAGGCATGGGTTTCCTTGTGGGGTGAGGAGACGCTGTGGAATTTGACAGTGTTGGGGACAGTACAACTCCGAGTCACGTACTTTAAACCAGCGGTTCTCAACTGTGGGTCGAGACCCCTTTGGGAGTCAAACGACCTATTCACAGGGGTCGCCCGATTGCTAACAGTAGCAAAATTACAGTTATGAAGTAGAATGAAAATAATTTTATGGTTGGGGGGTCACCACAACATGAACTGCATTAAAGGGTCGCAGCATTAGGAAGGTTGAGAACTACTGCTTTAAAGGGAACTTGAGGACGCTATTATTGAAAAAAAAGAGTACACAGACAGGCAAGATTGCATCCATTTCACTGGTCAGTTTGTCCTCCTACTGTGGCGGCTTGCGTGTTGCTGTGGTGCAGGAAGCTATGCCACCAGTATTTCAAGTACCAGGAGGGTCACGCATGGTGAAAGGGTTTCTGCAGAGCTTCCAGACTAAAAAAAATGAATAGGCAGTCCACTTCCAAGTCACCGAAAATCTTACGATTAAAAGTGGAACACTGATACAGTGACATGCTGCAGGGGCACATGTGTTACACAAGACCCTTTAAAGTGTCAAAGAGCAAGGATGCCACTTTCAGGACTCAGGCGCACCACACGGTGCATCTGTCACCTCCTATACATGTGACAGATGGACGCCGAATCAGAAACACTGGAGAGAAGGCAGTGATTTGAATCATGGCGCTGGTGAAGATAATGAAAGTACCACAGACTGCCGGGGAAAATCAACAAATCTGTCTTGGAAGAAGTAGTCAGAGGCTTCTTTGAAGAGAGGGTGGCCAGGCTTGTCTAACATGGTCTGGCCACGTCATTATGAGGGACCAGTCCCTAGAGAAGGACATTACGTTTGGTGAAGTACAAGGAGAGAGAAGACGGAGACTCTTGAGGAGATGGATTCACACAGTAGCTGCCAACAGTGAGCAGACTTTGCCAACCTCTCGATTGTGAGGATGGCGCATTCCGGGGGAGTGTTTGGCTCTGTGGTACACAGGGTTGCTATGAGCCGGTGCCGACTTGATGGCATCTAACAAGAGTGATCGTTCACTGCAGCAGCAGCCAATGACCTCTATCGCTGGGTTTCCCCCAAAGAGTACCTGGATGTCTGTGGTGCCGAGTGCGAGCCCAGCGACGTGGCAGCAGGAGGCGCTGCAGCACAGGCCATGCGGGGTGCGTGGGGAAGCCCATGGGGACACACACACAGGCTGGGGGCAGGCTACACCCAACCAAGCACCAACTCTCATATGAACAACCTCTTCTGGCTCCTGTTAGCAGTCAAGGTAGGCCCTCGCTGTAAGACAGGTAAGTGCAACAGGCTTTCAGGAGTTATGAGAGGATGCTCTTCTTGCCTTAGCAATAGCCCATCAAAATATAAGAGATGGCAACACACTACTGCTCAAGATAGCTGGCAACTTGGCATTGAAACAATGCTACTCTCAGCTTTAAAAAGGGGTGCACTTGGTAATCACAAACATGCTTTTACGTTTTAGACATTAAAATATCCCTCACAAAAGGAAAATTAGTTAATTGTTCTACGTCTGAGAAGCCAGAGCAAGCAATATTAACGCCTGGAGGACTTCCTTCTAGACTTCGTGCACTCGGTAGGCTTTCCCCCAATAACGTAACACAAGCACATTTCCAGGTGATTAGTCTTACAGGCGTCATTCTAACAGCTGCATGAGATTCCAGCTGGTGGACACACCTCATCTTATTTCAAGCCACACCAAATCCACTGGGCTCACATCGAACAGCTGTGAGAAGGGCACAGGGCTGGGATGCGGGGCTGCTGTGTACTGGAATGGAGTCAGTTTCCGAGGCTGCTAACGGTCCGGCAGATCGCCGTCTTTCTTCTGCAGAGCAGCTGCTGGGCCCGACCTCCTGGTGAGGGGTCCCGTGCACATGCAACTGCATCCCGGACTCCCTGAGCCTATGTTTACGCGGCCCCTCCTTGTTGCATCTTTAGAAAGTTTACTACCACAAGTGAGCCTGTAACAAAGACGTGGGTGCAGACAGCTTCCTCCTCATCTCGATTATCCCCTTGTGCAAAGATTCTCAAGAATGGAATTTCTCAATCAACGGGCCTGGACACGTTCCAAGGCGCTGGGTACCACTGCCCCATGCCTGTCCAATGAACTGTTAGATGTACTACTCTCCCACGAAAACAGCTGCCAGTCTAGTCCTTTACAAGCCCCCATGGATGTGCTATAGTTCTAGTTCTGGACTTTTCACGCCACAGGTAGCCAGAGAGAGGGAGAACTGAAGGCCTAGGGCAGGCACAAGGCCACAAAAGCTAACCCCGCGTGGTGACCGCCTCACTTACTGGAAATGGGTGAAACCGAGGGTGGGAAGGTCGGCTCGTTCCTGAGCGAAGTCCGCGAGCCTCGAGATCACTCTAGCCAGCTACGGGAAGGCAGAGAGGGTGAAGTCAGGTGGGGCTTCCATGATCGTAACTAACCTTCCAGACCATTCTATGTAAAACTCGGCCTCCAGCGCACTGCAGACAGAGCTCATACCCTTTCACCGGTGTATCTTAAAGTGCTTGCGAGCTTCCATGGCAACTAGTGTGAGGCCTGAGGTGCTAAGTCATCCCTGCAGGGCTACTGGCAGACCCCCACAACGTACCCCGCCCCCTTGCAGGCCCCTGGATGTGATACGCATCCTTCTTACAAGGCTCCCCTTTAAAAAGCATTCACTTAGAGCAGCGGTTCTCGACCTTCCTCATGCCGCAACCCTTTCATACAGTTCCTCATGTGGTGGTGACCCCCCCAATCATAAAATTATTTTTGTTGCTATGTCGTAACTGTCATTTTGCTGTTATGAATCCACGACCCCTGTGAAAGGGTTGTTCGACCCCCAAAGGGGTCACAGACCCACAGGTTGAGAACTGCTGACTTAGAGGGTTAACCCCCAGATGACAACGGTCTATAGATGAGCTGGAGGGCGTGCCAACCTGAGAAAATGGTCCTCCATCTAGACCAATTTCCCCAAGTGGGCATGAATGCCCCCTGGGGGCCGGAGCAATGGGGGGGGGGGGCTTCTAAAAGGCAGATCCTGACATTTCCTGCTGGATGAGGGCTACAGGACCAAGCGGTTAACTGCCACGGGTGCAGAGGCTTTGCTTTATGATGGGGGCAGTAGGTCAGTGACGTCTGGAGCCTCTGACCCAGGTCTTCACCCCACCGATTCCTAGTGCCACCATGCTCACAGGGAAGGGAGGCCTGGGAGAAGTCCTGCCAACGCCTTACCTTGGGTAAAAGCAGGTCAAGCGCATTTCTAAGGACGAGCAGGTCCTGCAAAAAAAACACAACGCAATGCCTTACATTTGTAGACCAACGTTGCTCACACAATTCTACCACCTGTTTCTGCCCATCCCCAGGGGTTCTCTGCTGGCAGCTTATCTCACCACGAGCAGCCCCCACAGTAGTCCAGAAGATACTAGTAGAAGCCATTCTTTTCAGACCACCATTTCAAAAAAGTGTGAAACCCCTAGATCCTCTGAGGGAGAAAGGCAGAGCCTTCGACATCTCGGAGACCCACGGGGGCAATTCTACCTGTCCTGTGAGGCAGGTCGCTATGAGTCGCCAACAACCTGATGGCAGAGTTGTTTTTAATCATGAAAGTGCAGGGGCTTAGAAAGCGGCCCTGCTGGGATCTATCCAGCAGGAAAGCCCTGCCCGCCCTGGGCCCCTCGAGTGAGGGAGAAGGGGCCCTGTGCCCATGCTGCAGTCACCGTCCAGGCTGGCAAGGGTTTCAGCTTCCCAGGGAGGAGGGCTGGTGGAGACAGTGGAGGAGCGTCCACCTGGCACTTCCAGTAGTGCTCTCCCTTTGGGCCTTCTTCCTGGACTGGAAGTTGACCGGGACTCCAGCTTCTGGTCTGACCGATGCACCAGGATTGAGAACACGTGGGTTTGAGCGGTTCCACCTGCCTGTGCCTTCTTCCTGGCTGGGTGACGCTGACAAGTGCTTCAAACTCTCTTTACCTGTCTCCTCATGTCCAGAGCCAAATACAGCCAGACCCGGGGATTGGTGGTCGCATCCTAGGGTCCCTTTATGTGCCATGTCTGAAAGATACAACTCACTCATCGCCAGCGGGTCTATACCAGCCCAGTGACCCTACAAGCCCAGGGAGAACTGCCCCTGTGGGCGTTTGAGACGCTCACTCTCTACGGGAATAGAAAGCCTCGCTTTTCTCCAGAGGAGCAGCTGGTGGGTTTTTCCAACAGCTGACCCTGCGGTACGCAGCTCAACATGTAACCATTATGCCACCAGGTCACCAATGAATGGTTTCCTAAAACAAGGACCATGCCACCTGTCTTTTTTCTGACAGAAGGCACAGCCAAGAGAGAGGAAAGACTGTGGCAAGAGTCCACAGGATGCTCACTGCAGCCACAAAAATGCCCAGATGAAGGCTTAGGCCCAGCAGGCCGAGGGGTGGGCAGCGCCTGCAGGTCTATCCTAGGGAGGCTGCCAGGTGACACAAGAAGGCTACCAGAAATGAGTCCAGCCAGGGAACCCCTAAACAGAGCCGCCTACGGACTCATTCCCGGACGCTGGACAACACCCAGCCACGGTCACACGTGTATGAGAAAGAGTCCCAAGTAGAAGCAAAGCACACGGCTCGTACGGTATTGTCCCCAACGTAGCAGGAGGTGGCGCCGAGATGGATGATGCCAGCGGCTTTGGGGCAGCAGTGGCCAAAGGTGTGCACGTGAGCCATCACGTCATGCCGCAGTCGCGTCTCCTCCTCAGCGGCCAGCTTGAAGTCGATGTTGTCCAGGTTGGACTTCATCTCCTGGATTTGCTCGTCTGTGATGGGCAGACCCAGTGTCTGCAGGGGCCAAACAAAGCAGGTGAGAGAGAAAACACTGGTTCGCGCTAGCAGTTACGTGCCCCAAATGGCAGGACTGAGAGGTCGGGGATAAGCTGAAGGGAGAGGGGAACTTTCGGAAGGAGCCTCCTAACCGGACCCCAACATCTACAGCAGTGGAACTCTGCTCTGACGATTCCCCCTGGGCCCGCCACCTCTCCCTGCTCACTGCCTCGCATTCCTGCCCAGGTTGCTCTATCCCTTCACCTGGATCTGATTTCGAGCGCTTACAGCACTCAGACAGGGCTGCTGAGTGGTGAAAATGGCTGCTGCTCACCTGATCATCTCAGATTGGTAGTTCGAAGCCAGCCAACTGTACCCGGGAAAGTGACTTGGCCATCGTTACAGTACGTTAAAGCCGAAACCAACACCCACGGCTGTGGGCTCCACTCTACAGTGACCCTACAGGACGAGGAGAACCGCCCCATGAAGGCTCCAAGGCGCGGGGCTATATGGCAGCAGACTGCCACAGCTCTCTCCCAAGGAGCCCTGCTGACCCACGGCCCCCCCAGCGCACAAACCCTGGGCGGGAACCCACTAGCCTGGCAGCAACATCGTCACATGACATATTTATTCCTGCATAGCTCATGGAAAAAGGCAAACCAAATGCACCGCCACTGAGTCAATTCTGAATCACAGCGACCTAGGGTACAGGGAGAACCACTACCCCTGTGAGTAGAAAGCCTCACCTTTCTCTCGCAGAGCACTGCCACGGCACCAGGGCTCCTGAATACCCTGGGTAGTTTGCTTCACGCTTAGTCATTAATGCCTGGCACCCAGGTGCCCAAACTGTGGGCCCCAGCCACAGTTTCACATGGAACCCAGGGAAACCCAAATCAGGACTTCCTGGAGTTGTTAGGCTTGTAAACAAACAATGGTTGGGCGAACTCAGCCCAACCCAAAGCAATGGAAGGAGATGAGCAGGTGAAAACAAGCACATTGACAACATCTCGTGTCACCGAACCCAAACCAGAAAATGGAGCCGAGAGCCAGCCGCAAACAGAGGGTTCGGAACCCTGGGCCAGGACTGGACATACACAGCAGTGAATGGCAATGTGCTCACCTGGCAACTCCCAGCACACAGGCTGGCTTCTTAGGCTCATGCTAATACCCAGGCATAACTGAAAATCTAGTTTCCCAGGCGAGGTAGCCACAGTTCAAGTGCCAGCCCAGTGGCCACAGATGGCAGCAGGGCAGTCGTGGACCTTTGCCCGGGATCCCTGTCCAAAGGAGCGAGCAGCCCAGCCACACAGCTGCCTTCCGTAAGCAAGATCTCAAGACACCTAAGGGCAAACCACCCCCCACAAGCCAGGCATCCTTTCCCACTCCCCTATTTCCCCCCTAATCTCCCACCCTCCCCCCAAACTTTTATCTTCACTACAAAGTTATGAGAGGAAGACCCTTGACAAGATGGACTGACAGTGCCCACAGCAACGGGCTCAAGCACGGGTAGGGTGCACCTGGGCTGTGTGTCTTTCTACTGTACGTACACAGGGTCGCTGTGAGTCTGACCCAGCTCGACAAAACAACACACCACCCATCTTATGCACTCTGGTGGCACAACAGACTGAGCAGTGGGCTGCTAACCACCAGGTCAGCAATTTGAACCTGCCAGCCGCTCACCAGAGGGAGAAAGACAGGCTTTCTGCTCCCCTAAAGATGTACAGCCTTTTCCCAGGGGCTCACAGGGACAGTTCTACTCTGTCCTACAGGGGTCTCCATGAGCCTACATCAGATCAAGGGCAGTGAGTTGATTTTCTTAACCATCTTGCTAATTTTGGCACCCTCACTAATAGATAGGGAGGCGTTTGTTAATACATTCTGCTTTCCCACAAGGCTAGAAGTTCATGCCCACCCTGAGGCAGGAGGAAGGAAAGGATGGGCAATCTTGTGAAAACTCATCACTGAAAACCCCATGGGGACACAGTCTGACAATTGGACTCTGACACCTGTAGGGTCCCCAATTGTCAGCATCGATCTGACAGCCGTTGGTTGAGTCATAGGCAGTCCCACCCAGGAGATGCGATCAAAGCAGGGCGTGTTCCAGGCACCACAGAGTCTGGGATCTCAGTAGCCTTCTCCAGGCAGAAGCAGTGCAGATACAAAGGGTAGGTAAAGATAAGGAGCCCTGGTGGAGCAGGAGCTAGGATAGGAACTCGGCTGCTAAGTAAAAGGTCAATGGTTCGAACACACTGACCGCTCCTGGAGAGAAAGGTGTGGCAGTCTGCTGTCACAAAGATTACTGCCACAGAAGCCCACGGGGCACAGCTACTCTATAGCAGGGTGGCTGGATCAAATCAGCTCCCAGCAAATTGTTTTATTTTCACCTCCTTCCAGTGAGCTTTTATGGGGCAAAGGATAGAGTAAACAGCACATACTCAGACGGCCCTACTTTCCATATCGGGCCATTGACTAGTGAAGGGGACCTTGGCCAAGTGTTTTTAAGTATCCTCACCCTCATCCAAAGAATGGAAGTGATCTTCGTGCTGTGATTAAACTTATAAGATTGTAACTTATACGCCAATAAAACTGTTGCGGGTAATAAAATAAAATCTAGAAAATAAATAAAATCTAGAAGCAAAAACAAAATGCCCACGAGCGAAAGTTAAAGTACCGAAAGAGGAGGTGTTCACCAGGTCCTTCACAACCCACAGACTCTAGACAACGTCCTCTTCCAGTATCTTCGGTTACCTCGGACACGGTTTTTTGTACACCTCATGTGTACATCAGGAACACCAGCACACAGTTTTTTGAGGGTGACTAAGCTCACATGCACTAAGTCTTAAAACTCATTAGACCCTATAGAAATGGCTGCTATTGGAACACTCATCAATGGAGTTTCCTGAGCAGCGTGAAGGGAGGGGGCAGGAGATCCACTCTGCCAGGGTCAAAGGGAGGTAGTCAGTCGCTGCATTTGTCCTGTGGCATTTGCTGAGGGCCTTGCCACCTGGCAGTGACATTTCCCCTGCAGTCTGAGAAGAAACAGGATAGCCCCTGGATTGCCTTCAACCCTTCTGGAAGGGCTCTCAGGAGTTATTTCTGAGATGGACTGAGGTGCTCTTACAGGCCAATCAATAAAACCTGCCTCACAAACACCAAAAAGCCCACTGCCACATGCAGATTCCATCGCAGTGCAACCCTCCATCGGGTGCCCAAGGCTTTGTGCACCTTGACAGGGGCAGACAGCCTTAGCTTTCTCTGTGAGCACCCACCTGTTCAGCCAGCACCCCCCTCCCCCCCACACACACACCTTCTGCTTCATAAACACCTGCCCTAATGCCTCCTAGAAGCCCAGGTAGCATAGTGGTGGTGTTGGACTGCTAATCACAAGGTCAGCAGTTCAAAACCACCAGCTAGTTCTGAAGGAGAAAGACGGGGCTTCCCACTCCCATAAAGAGTTCACACTCTCGGGAACTCACATGGGCAGTTAGTTCTACACTCTCCTATGGGGTCACTGAATTAGAACTGACTCGATGGCAGTGAGTTTGGTTTGGTTTTTAATTCCCACTACTTAAAAGCAAAGCACCAAACTCACTTCCATCAGTAGACTGTGATTCATTGCAACCCTACGGGGCAGGGTAGAGCTGCCCCCGAGTTCAGGAGACTGTAACGCTTTAAGGGAGGAGAAAGTGGCTGGTGTTTTCGAACCGCTGACCCTAAGCACTATGCCTCCAGTCGCTTCTGACTCACAGCGACCCTGTCGAACTGAATATACTACCCCATAGGGTTTCTGGGTCCAAACGTCCTTACAGAAGCGGACAGCCTCAGCCTCTTTCCGCGACCGGCTGGTCACCCACCGACCTCACGGTGCCACCAGGCACCTCCATTCAGGTACAGTGGCTGGGAAAACCTGGATCCCAGATCCTGGTAACGCACAGTGGTGGCCCGAGTCTACTGAGCGCTCAGGAGCGTGGCTTCCTCCCACGTGAGGATGGGGGTGCACCCCTGGCTCACCTGTTCGTTTCACTGACGAGAAAAGAGGTGCGAGGGGCGCTGGGCGAGCGGGTGCACCGCGGCAGTAATGGCCAAGATGAAGGCCCGCAGACCACTGACCCTACTGCCCGCCCGCGTCGCTAACCCTCGAGGCCTAAAACCTTGGGCGCCAACAGGTGACGGATCCTGGCTGCCAGGGGCTGCCCGGAGGCCCTGGCGCGTCGCGCGGGCCCGTTACCTGCTCGGCTTCCGCCAGCCACAGCCAGAGCTGCCGCCACGTCCGGAACTTGTACCTGTCGCTAAACACGAAGCACATCTCCGGGCTGGCGTAGCGGGAGGCCAGCGGCGAGCGGTAGCTGTCGGGCCCTGCGGCCACTAGCGGGTCGCCGGCAGCCGCCATTTCGAACACGCGACCTCGCGGGCTTGGACCGCGGCGTGCACGGACGAAAGCGGAAAGTGGCTGCGGCGGTGGGGCGGGACTTCCTTCGCACGGGGCGGGACTTCCTTCTCACGGGGCGGGACTTCCTTCGCGTGGCCCCGCCCCCGGGACTCCGAGGGCTTGAGATGGGAGAGTGTCGCCCCCTGCCTGCGGAGGGCTAAAAAAGTGTTGGGGAACTCGCTGGCCTTCAGCTAGCTAGCTCGGCGCCTCCCCCGCCGCGAAGACCTGCCTCAAGATGTTTGTGATTGGTCAGTGAGTTATTCGTGCCAAAGCTCTTGGGCAGATCCCTGGACACCCAGAAACCCCGCGGTGCGTTCCCTGTTATTGCCCACCGTACTGCCCTCGATCTGCCTGGCACCAAACACGGTTTGGGCGAGAATCGAAGATGGCCGTGGCAGTCCGCGTTGCTGAGCTCCAAATGTGCCCCCGCGCGACGCGAGCTCTTGGATTCCAACTAGCGCCTTCAGGCGCAGGCCCCCTGAGGACCCGCACTGCTGATGAAGATCCCACACACACCTGCTGGGTCCCTGCCTGCTGGCGCCACCGTCCTGTTTAGCCAGCAATCATCAACACCACTCACCTGCATGGGGATCTCACCAGATAAGGCTCACTGTCCTGAGTGCTTTTCAAACCCTGTTTGGTCTTCCTAACAGAGGGGACTGACACAAAGTTCTTGGCAGGATGCACTGAGTAGATGCTCTTTAATGCTCTGCATTATCTTCATCCCCGTTCTACAAACGACAAAGCAAAAGCCAGGGCACGTTGAGTAATGTCTTGGAATTACTCTCGCCGGAGAGGGAGAGCTCAGATTTAAATGCAGGCCAGGCGGCTCCAGACAGCCGCTTCTTAGCTCCAAACGCACCTTTTCCTTTCGGTTCTATGCTGCTGAGAAATGAACTCTCTCTTCTCCTTTAGCAACTTCTCAGGGCAATCCAGGTGGGATGACTGGCTTGTTTCCTGGAGTAAGCGCCCCTTCACAAGTGACCATATATTTCAGGGGTAGGAAAAGATGTTAATTCGATCTCAAGACTGCAATATCAGTTTGGTGACAATAGCTTCGTTTCCTGTCACTTTTCCGTCCCTGCTTTCATTTTGTTTCAGTCTCACTTAGAAACTCCAGAGCGCCGTGATCTCCCTCTCCCTGGGCCTTCCTGGATACCTAAATCCAGGCTTCCTACCAAACCCAAACCAAACTCACCGCAACTGTATAGGACGGGGTAGAACTGCCCCTGTAAAATTTCAAGACACTTTACCAGAGTAGAGAGCCTCACCTTTTTCCTGAGGAGCACCAGGTGGTTTTGAACTGCAGGCCTTTTGGTTAGCAACCCAACTCATAACCACTACGCTGCCAGAGCTCCTTGGTTTCCTACATGCCTCTCAATTTTCAGGAGAGTTTAAGCTTTTGCCTTTCCCATGTCCACATCATGGTCAATGGTTCCTGAACGAATGAATGGATCTGGATCGCGACCCACAAAGAGCCCAGTCCAGCAAGAGAAATGAGGGCCCCGAACCGCGTGACAGCATTCGATGCTAACACCGCACTTCCTTTTCCTCTGAACCTCGCTTCTCAGTCCTCCATGCCCTCATTCTGTGGCTCTTTTCCGGCTCCACCTGGACTCCATAAAGAGCCATCCGAGTTCAGTGCACTGCCCATCCCAGCAGCTCAGTTTCCAGGCCCTCATTTCTGATGTCTTCTTTCACCTCCTCTCTTAGGCCACAGAGGGCTGATATTTTATTTTCCTCTTTCTTTTTTGAAGAAAGACAAACACAAACCGGGAAAGATGAAGAATTTGCTCCCTGCAGCGGCTCACTCTTCAGAGCGCTGCAGGGCAGCCATTGCCTTGCTGTCCAGGAATAATTTTTATTCTTCTCACGTCTCCCTGTGACTTTTGCAGCCTTAACTCTTTCCTCTCGTCGCCCTAACTCCGGCCTCCCTTCACTTCACGCTCGGTTGGCTCTTCCTCCTCAAAGCAGGAGTCTCTCTGCTCAGTCTTCCGTCTTTTTATCGAGGCAGGGATCTTTCTCCAATTACTGCATCTTGAATCTCTCCAGTTCTGCCTCTGTTCTCCACGGATTGTCACCATCTTCCCATGCCCCAAAGTCTTGTGCCACGGAGTCCCATTTCTCAGGCTTCTTTTCACCAGCCGTTTCTGACATTGTCACTTCGTAGCTGTGTGGCTTGGCAAGCTACTCCCTCTTTCAGATCCTGGGGTCTTCTCACCAGCGAAGAAAGACCGATGATTCCCAAGACTGAATGGGCGAGCAAAGGCAGTTCAGATGCTGACTCCCCGGTCCTGTGCCTGGAACACCTGTGCCCCACAAATGAGACCCCTGCCCAGCCCACTTTAGTCCATCCCATGGTGGTAAACTCCTGTTCTCTGCCTTTCTCCAAACCATTCTCATTGATCCCCAACACCTGTGTCTGGTAGATCAATCCAAAGGCCTTTGCCATTATCCTAGGCCAGTGGTTCTCAACCTGCTTCATGCCACGACCCTTTCATACAGTTCCTCATATGTGGTGACCCCCCAACCATAAAATGATTTTCATTGCTACTTCATCACTGTCATTTTGCTACTGTTATGAATCGGGCGACCCCTGTGAAAGGGTTATTCCACCCCTAAAAGGGCAGCGACCCACAGGGTAAGAACCACTGTACCAGGGTAAGTTAAAAAAATTTTTTTTCAGTTACTTGAGTTCCAGTTCATACCTGCCATGGCTTTGGGGCAGTTCTCTCTGTAATGCACTTGTGCGAGTCTCATCGGGTGCCTTTTGAAAGAGCCACTCAAAACTGGATTCTGGGGGAATCTGCTAGGCCAGTTCAATTCAAGGAATAGAGCTCTGCTCCGAAGTGTGTGATGACTGTTTTGGGGACTCCCAAAGAGAAAATCTATCAAGATTTTTCTCCAGGGGCATAGGATGGTGAGAGGGGCCTCTCATGAGGAAAATTTAGAAACACTGAAGACCTCCTTAGGGGGAACCTGGCCCACCACAGCAATGCACCTGCTCATTTTTTGTGGGCAGCAAGAGTTGTCCTATGAGAATTTCATCAGGAATCCTTATCCCAGTCGCCCTGCAGATGTTTTTGTTTTGAAAACTCATAGAACATTCAAAAAGGAGGCTTATTGAGTCCCTTGGGGAGGCCAAAGCTGCTGGTTTGAAGTGGTGGACATTTGAGTGCAGGGTTCTCCTGGGAGGGTTTGAGAGAGGCGCACAGATCCAGATGGAGGGCACATTTGGATATTTTGTTTAATAAGAGTTACTATGATTTTGTAAGAACATTTCTTGACTTACCCTCATTTGTTTGTTTGCCCCTATCTGCCTAAGCTCCCTGTCAAGCATGCAGCTGCTAACCTAAAGGTCAGCAGTTCAAGCCCACCATCTGCTGAGTGGGAAATGTGGCATTCGGCTTCTCTGTAGACTACAGACTCAGAAACCCCTCGGTGTGATTCTGTCCTTTCCTCTACGGGCACTGTGAACTGGGATCCCCTAAAGAAACACTGGAAGGGCACACCCCAACAAACTCACTGACATGGAGTTGAAGCGACCCTACAGACAGGGTAAAATTGCCCCTGTGAGTTTCTGAGCCTGTAATTCTTCGCAGGAGTAGAAAGTCCCATCTTTCTCCCAACCGGTAGTTTCAAACTGCTGACCTTGCAGTTAGCAGCCTAATGCAAGATCCAGCGTAATCACTGCGCCACCAGGGCAAGTGAGCAGCAGTAAGGGGGGGGATGGGAGGGGGGCGGGGCGGTATTAGAGCCACACCTCTCAAAAATCCATTGCCATATTGTTTTGATTTTTGAACTAAGGTTTTCAAAGGGTTTTGTTCCCTTGTTACGGATTCAAAATAATCTTTAATAAGCCATTTCCCTGCATTCCTTCACTCCTCCTGGCTGATGGGGGCAGTTAATGCGTTGATCAGTTCCTTCTGCTTTGAAAACAAAATTGTACTGCTTTTCTCTGACTCTCCTTTTTAGAGTTCGCTTTTTTTAAAATTAATAAATCATTTTTTGGGGGGGGGCTCAATGGTATCAAACACATTTGCACATATGCTGCCATCATCATTTTCAAAACATTTTCTTTTTGCTTTAGACCTTGGTATCAGCTTTTTTCCCTCCCCCCTTCACAAACCCCTGATAAATTATATTATTATTTTCATATCTTACACCATCCGCTGTCTCCCCTCACCCATGTTTCTGTTGTTCGTCCCCCTGGGGAGGGGTGGCACATTATACATTGCTCATTGTAGCCTGTTCCCCATTTCTCCCCCTTCTCTCCCTACCTTCTCCTATCCTCACAGTATTGCTCCGCCCTGAGGGCTTTATCTGTCCTGGATTCCGGGTGCCGAGCTCTTGTCTGTACCAGTGTACATGCTCCAGTCCAGTCTGATTTGTAAGGTTGAACTGGGGTGCCTGTGCTGTGCCGCACCCTGGCTGACTCTTCCTTCCTTGCGACCCTTCTGTGAGGGAATGGCCAATTGTCTACAGATGGGTTTGGAGTCTCCACTCCACCCCTCCTGATACAGATCCGTATGATTATTGTTTGTTTTGGGTTTTCTGATGCCTGATACCTGATCCCATCGACCACACCTCATGATCACATAGGCTGGTGGGCTTCTTCCAAATGGGCTTTTTTGCTTTCCTGCTAGATGGCCACGTGTTTAACTTCAAGCCTTTAAAACAACTGACACTAGAACTTTTTTGCAAATTTGTTACCATCATTCTTTTTCAAACATTTTCTTTCTACTTGAGTCCTTCGTATCAGCTTTTTCTTTTCTCCCTCCCTCATGAACCCTTGATAATTTATAAATTTTGATTCGTTCATGTCTTACACTGACCAAGGTCTCCTTCACACACTTTTCTGTTGCCCATCCCCCTTGGAGGGGGTTCTATGTAGATCATTGTGATCGGTGCCACCCTTTGTCTCCCCACCCTCTCCTTCCCCCCCTGGTATGGCTACTCTCAATATTGGTCC